TACTATTGTATTTTGTCCCATACAAAATTCAGATTTGGTGAGGTCTCCCTGCACCGTACGAGGTCTCCCCGCAGCCAGCTTTGTCAAGCTCCGCCACTGCCCACGTACCCACACACAATATATGTTCAGAATTGTTCCATCCAACTCAAAGCAAGTTAGGCTTGACAGAAAACAGGGCTTTGGCATGAGGATAAGCTAAAGCGAAGAAGACAAATAACAATTACCGACCTTAATGTAACAAACACAACCGTCCAGCTTAAGAAAAAGAGACAGAAAGAAGTTGAAACAGCTAGGCTTCATTTCAACCGTGATAACCTGTGCTTATCTTTGAAACTGTTGTGGAAATGATTCTATATAGTAACTAGAGATCCTATTATTTCTCCATCCGGGAAAGTAAGGTGCATTTAGTTTGGTTATAAGACAAGCCTTGGACGAACAACTAACAACTCTTATCAATATTCGGTTTATGTGACACAGAATCGCACAATTCGTTACTTCAAAATAGGGATGAAATGCAAACGAGCACATTTGGTTTCAAATCCAACAGATCTGGTGGTTCAGTAGTCACGATGGAGTGCGTGAAGCAGGGGTTGACCCAGGAAACAAAATTCAGATCATTCCCCACTCAAGCAGAATCACACTAAACTGGATCCTGACGAGCCCTGCCCCAGTCAGCGTCGTAGATGCCAGATTTGCTGCCAATCCGCCTGCAGCTGGTTGTAAACTTGTACTCCTACTATCAGATTTCCGATCTAACCATCACAAAATTTCCGATCCTAACCATCTACGGCCAGAGCAGAAGAAACAGAGGAGGGGTTGACTGTGAGTGAGACTGAGAGCCGCGGCGGTACCTCGGCCGAGGGTGAACCGGAACGGGGCGCCGCGGTCCCGGCTGGAGTCGAACTTGGTGCCGTCCGCCAGCGTCCCCGTGTAGTGCACTGCGGCAGAAGTTGAAAACCAAGTCAACGCCCAAGTCAACCCAATCGAATTCGAACCCGTCCACGCCGGAGAAGCGGCGAGGACTAGGAGGGCGCGCTACCTTCGACCTCGTCGCCGGCGCCGGGGAGCTGCGAGCCCTCGCCCTCTCTGAGGAGCCTCTTCCGGAGCCCCTCCTTCCCGATCCCCCTCTCGTCCCCGGCCTTCATCGCCGCGACGGCGTACCCCTCGTCGACCTCCTCCTCCTCCTCCGCGGGGGCGCCGGCGTAGAGGCTCCTCATGGCCTCCTCGTCCTCGCCGTCGTAGCCGCCGGGCCCCGGGAAGCCGAGGCCGAGGAGGTCGTCCATTTCTGGATTCCGGCCGCGGGATGGGAGCTTCGAGAAGGGGTGTGTCTGCAGTGTGTGGTACGATGGGATGGGTGGATGCGCCGACGGCAGTTTTATTATTCGCCGCGTGCGAAAGTTCGAAGCGTTTGTTTTGGGTTTGGGGGGAGGGAGGGAGGCTGCGGGAGCGGTCTAGAGAGTTCTTGTCTCTTCACCGAATTCCTTTTTCACGTGCTTGATATAGGATATTATTATTAGGAGGATATCATATGTCTAATATAGTGTTATCCGATTTGCTATTTATTATCATGCAATTATTGAGGGGCAATTTTAGATCAATTGATTTCAGGAAGGCATTGCAATGCTCTGATGCCAGAGACAGGGGTGACCCGGGCGAGACCGAGCCGGGTGGCATCGGTTGTAGAGGCGAGAATGAGGGTTGACTGGTGCGGCTGGGTGTTTTTGTTTTCGCTATCACATGCACCAGTTAACCCTCATTCGTCTTGGATAGGGTCTCGTCGGAGGCAAGGTAAGGAAGAGAAATCGGGTCGGGGGGAGATAAATCAAGTGTTGCGGACTCGAGCCATGGAGAAAACAATTGTAGGAAGCAGAAGATGATTGACTTTACGTTCCTGATCCAACGAAGTTTTTTTTTTCGAGGACTTCAATAGGGATAAAATAGTTATTGTCATTGAGAAAATGAGTAGTAAAACAATTAAGAAAATTTTAATTTCTTTTCTGTGACAAACATTGTTGGACGTCTCAAATGCCTGCAAAAATTCATAACGAAATGACGTTTGTGGAAGTGTTGGCAAAAAAGAGAAAATCAATGCTCCAAAATGCTTTCGCAAATAGCTTTGCCGAAGCATCGATTTGTTTCTTCTTGTCAAGAACTATGTGAATGTCATTCCACAACGAAACTTTGCACACGGTTGAAACATTCGACAATGTTTGTCATACAAAAAAAATAAGTTTTTTAACCTTTTTTTGTATTTTACTATTCATCCGGTGCATTTGCACCCAAGAGCAGAAACTCCACTTCCGCTATTACTTTGCATTTACTCATGTTGCAATGGAGCATTTCCGGAGGTTAGAGCAAGTATAATAGGATGATGTAGGCGGGCCGTAAGCCTTGACATATTATATTTTGGATGAGTCGGAGAAGAGAGAGGAGGAGAGAGAAGGGAAGCGGGCTACTGATTAACAGCCGGCTGTAGCACGTATTTCTAGACATGTTGTGAGAGAGGAAGCACTAGTAGAAAAAGGGTCATTTGTCCTGATTCATAAGGGACTTTAGTCCCGGTTCTGGAATCGGGACTAAAGGGTCGTTACTAAAGCCTCCCCCCTTTAGTCCCGGTTCTTACACGAACCGGGACCAAAGGCCGTCCACATGGCCGCTGTCTGGAGCTCCACCTTTAGTCCCGGTTGTTATTTTTATGAAAAAAAATTAAATTTTTAAAATATTTTTCCAATTTAATCTCTAATCACCCCTCATCATTTCAAATCATCTAACTTCCCGGCCGGTCACTCATCCTCTCACTACTCCATCCTGAGCACGCTTAACTTTCGGGTTCTATTCCCGCTCGTTTCCAAGTCTGCACTTGTTGTTTTCCTGACAATAGCAAGATGTCAATCCTATTAACCCTCGGGAGTTTACCTTGAGCATGAAGTCACACGTTTCACTGTTTGAGTTTGAAACTATTATTCTAAAAAAATAATTATTTAGTAACACTAATATTTCTTTAATAAGTAGTTTGACCATAGTTTGACCACAGTTTGACCAGATTTGACCAAAATTCAAAAAATTGAAATAATTATTTAGTAACACTAATATTCTTGAATAATTATGTAGTAACACTAATATTTCTTAAATAAGTAGCTTGACCATAGTTTGACCAGATTTGACCAAAATTCTAAAAACTGTAATAATTATTTAGTAATACTAATATTATTGAAAAATTATTTAGTAACACTAATACTTCTTGAATAAGTAGTTTGACCAAAGTTTGACCTGATTTAACCAAAATTAAAAAAAAAGAATTTGAGCATAACTTTTTTCCCTTTTAGAATTTGAGGATTCTAAAAATTTGCAAACAGGCCGTATGCGGTCAAAATCGGATGTGGATTTCCGTGATGAATATTTTGATATATTATATGTTTTTTTCTGACATCATATGCAAAAGTTATAGCCGTTTTACATTTTCCCCACACTTTTTGCAAAACATGTCTAAATTTAAGTTTTTAAATTTTCCTAACTACCTCTGGAAGGATTTTAATTTTTGAAGTTTTTATCATTTTCTTTTGCTTTTTACAAAACTGAAAAGGCGATCCACCAGGGGGGGGTAGAGTTTGAAAATGGGACCTTTAGTACCGGTTCGTGGCACGAACCGGTACTAATGCCTCAAACCCCATTAGTACCGGTTGGTGGCTCGAACCGGGACTAAAGGTCTAACCTTTAGTACCGGTTGGTGCCACGAATCGGTACTAATGGGCATCGCACCCTTTAGTCCCGGTTCGTGGCACCAACCGGGACTAAAGGTCCCATTTGAACCGGCACTAATGCCTGTACGGTGCCCTTGCCAGACTAATACTCACATTAGTCCTGGTTCGTAATGCAACCGGGATTAATGCTTTTTTCTGGCCAAACCAAAGCCCTCTTTTCTACTAGTGAAGGTGGGCCATGTATAAAAGAAGTAGTACATATTTACATGCTACTATTGTACTTGCCGGCTATAAGCTTGGTTATAGATGATGTGGCAAGACCATATAGCCGACAGCTGGCTATACTATTAACCATGCTCTTAGCTAGAGATGGGATTGTGTCAGCGATGGAACCCATATCAAGATTTATCTACTTTGGAATAAATTAAGAATGAGGTTGGGTAGCAAATGTGTGATACGAGTATGATTTGCACTAAATGATCTTTATTTGGACTTAGTTAGCTTGTTGGCCTCTTGGAACACTTTTTTGCATTTCTGGCCCCTAAAAGATGTGCCAATGTTGAAGGCACCAATGGTAAACTTAGTGGTGCAATCCCTCCGGGAGCCTTTAACCAAGGTCTTCCCACGACAGTCGAACTCGTCGCTAGAGTGGCAATGCTAGTCCTACAGCGTATTAGTGTGGGGGGATCTAGTGTAGTAGGTCGGTCCTCCCGAAAGTTACGCTCATTTTTCAGACACCCTATGATAGTAGAACGCTCTTGAGAGTTTATCATGTTGACGAGTGCTTTGGATTCATTGTTAGAGGGTTTGATAAATAAGTAGGTATCATAAAATTCACTAGGAGTGATTTCAAAATATCCAAAATTGGAGAATTATATCAAAACATATGGAATATTAAATATGTATTCACTATTTCTAAATCTTGGTAATGGTTTGAAGTAATATTTGAGTTTAAAAACTTTATAAAAAACAGAAATCATGAAAGATATTTATTGTGATTAATCAATGATATTAGTTAGTCAATCTTTAGCTGAGGACATGAATAAATAAAAGACAAGATAGTTGGGAGTTGGCAGTTGAACGCATACTTATATTTTCTTTGCCTATAGTTGGGAGTTGGAGGTTGAACTTGTACAAGTGTTCTTTTCTTCTTTGCTAATAGTTGGGAGTTGGGGGTTAAACAATTGACCGTTGATTGGTGGGACATGGGTCATCTATCTAAAAAGGACAAATAACGTAGTACTCCATCCGTTCCTAAATATAAATCTTTTTAAATATTCCAATGTGAACTATATACGAAGTAAGATGAGTGAATCTACACTCTAAAATATGTATATATACATCTGTATATAGTCCTTATTCAAAACTCTAAAAAAGCTTATGTTTAGGAACGGGGGGAGTAATTTGCTAGTAGAATATGACGGCCTAAGCTTTCCATAATTGAAGTATCATAACTAGTAATTCCTCTGCCCACTGCTAGATACTCCCTCCGTCCGGAAATACTTGTCGGAAGTTGATATGACACAACATTAAAGCAAGAGAAAACACTTGTAGTATGCTAATATGATATTGAATTATAACACGTGCAACGGAAAATTATCAAATGCTAATAATTCAGAACCTAGATTCCATCATCTAAACACGAGTTAGCTCAAACTTCAGCTGGAAAAAGCCAAGTCGGAAACCAAATCCCCCAAGCACTAAGACCTGACGGCACAAGCGGCTTCGACAGCAGCCGCGCCACTGTCTGATCCCTCATGTTGTACACAGGAACTGAGGAAGTCCTCCTCGATATTTCCGATCACACTAATCTCGCTCATAAAATAGATGCAATCTTCTTGAGCTCCGCCGCTGACAGATTGGCCGCACACAGACACAGCTAGCGAGTGAGAGCAGCCTCGGCTGATGAAGAGAGCGTGCCCCATCAACGTGTCGACCTCGCTCCACCACCCGTGGCCGCTGCTCAGGTCAGCCGCCCGGAAGACCTTGAAGCACCGAGATGGCATGGGCGAATCGACGGGGTGTGGATCGACAACCCGTCCCACCGTCAGCAGTCGACTTCCAGACGCGACGAGGTAGAAGAAGAAGCGATCTAGGCCATCATCTATGTGTCTACTTTGTATCATAGTTTTAAATAGCGCGCTAAGCATCTTAGCGACGGACCTCTTTCAAATGCTATAGCGTACTATAGCGAATCTATAGCGGGCTATTTAAAATGTTTGTTCATTTGTTTGGACCAAAATCTCTTAGCGCAAGACCTTTTGTAAACGCTATAGCGGGCTATTTAAAACAGTGCTTTGTATGCATTGGACGGTCCTGATGCCCATATTCCCGGCTTCAAGTTGGATGACATGGAGGTCCGGCAGACACTCATATTGCTCCACGTCTTTAGTTACAACGTACTTTGTCGAGTGTCGCTCTCGGCAAAGTACATACAACATCCTATATTTTTTTTGTGTGTTTTTTTTAACTGACATGTGGTCCCACTGGTGACATTTTATCAGTAAAAAAATGAAGATATCTTTGCCGAGAGGTGCTCTCGGCAATCCTTCATGGGAGCTGACAGTTTACATAGCTTTGCC